AATAAAATAAAAATAAAACAATAATAACAACTATAGGGAAAAAAGAATAAGTATGAATAATAAAATGTTAATTATAAAAACACACAATTCAAATGTATCAGTCATATCAATAAGTATAAATGGGCTTAACTCATCTATTAGAAGAAAAACATTTTCAAATGGCTTCCTAAAGCAAAACCCATTCTGTGGTGTCTGTAAGAGACATATCTAAAACCTAGTGATTCAAAGAGTTAAAAATGAAGGGATGTGCAAAACTGTCACAGGCAAATAGAAAAAAATAAGAAAGCAAGGGTTTCAATCTCCACAAAGTAGGCTCCAGATTAAAAGTCATTAAACATAACAGAATATACTTTATAGTTTAAAAGCTGTAATTCACAATGAAGTTATAATATTTTTGAGTATCTGTGTACCAAATAACACAGTAAACACCTACATACAGAATTGCTATAGCAGAATATAGGATAATGTAAGAAGTAGAAACCCATATTACATTTTTAATACATCACAGTACAAGTCTGATACAATAACATATTTCATGATCATCTGGTAAATTTTCTGTCTCACACCCAGAATTAGCCATTTCTTGAAGGATCTTGGTTTCTTTTGGTGGGAAATGGTATTCAGAGATCATGGTCGTTGTTTCAGGAATGCTCAAGTGTTGGTGTGTTTCTAGGCCTTTTCAGTGGACAAAGCTTAGAATGCTTTTTTTAAGTTTATTCTGAAAGAGAGTGCACACACTTGTGTGCATGTGTGTTGGGGGGGGTGGGGAGAGGGCAGAGAGAGAGGAGAGAGAGAGAATCCTAAGCAGGCTCCACGTTGCCAGTATGGAGCCTGAATAGGGCTTGGGCCTACAAGCAGCAAGATCATGACCTGAGCCAAAATCAAGAGTTGATTGTTTAACCAACTGAGTCACGCAGGTGCCACAGGCATTTTTTAAAGAGAAAATACATCATTTTAGTTCATGCTGATATTTCTAACTGAAGTCAAAAACTTTTTTTTAAGTTTGTTTATTTTGAGGGGGGAGGAAAGAGAGAGAGAGAGATGGGAACGCAGAGGAGGAGCAGAGAGGGAAAGAGAAAGAATGCCAGGCAGGCTCTGCACTGTCAGTGTGGAGCCCAGCGGGGCTTGAACCCACGAACTGTGAGATCATGACCTGAGCTGAAACCAAGAGTTGACTAAGCCACCCAGGTGCCCCACCCCCTACTTGAAATTTAAAATTACAATTTTTATTTCTTTGATATTTGTATTTGTATCTTTTTTCTCATTTCCTAATGATATTTAATAAAATTAATATATTCATTTTAACCTAGAGTTTCAAATCAACAATACCAGTATTATTACAATTATTAACAATTATAACAGTGCAGTTACTACAAAAAGCTTAAGATATATTTGCAGTTCTTTTTGTCCATAGGGTATATCCCAATATGTATATAAAAATTACTGTGTTTTAAATCCACTTGAAATAATTTTTCTATGTATGATTAAACCATATCTCTACATAATTAAATTCATTTTATTTTGCTATTTATTTTTAAGGTTTTTCATTTCCATTTTATTTTTGCTTTATTTTTTACAAATTTTAGAGGATTCAAGATAGCATAGCTGACAATTGTGGTTTATTCTTAAAAAATGAATAAATAGCTACTAAAAGTTTTAGACTTTTAGGAACAGTAATCAAAAAAAATGTGGAGTTCAAGAAAATTTTCTACTCAGTTTTTTTCTAAAATGGGTGAGGAATTTACTATAATTAAATGTTTCAGCTATTCCTCTATGCTAACTGGGAGTCCATAACCTTCAAGGAAGCCCTAAAAAGTGCAACACACTACTACCCCACACACTGTTTCTCAACTGCTTCTGGGAGTATACATCAGTGTTTTCTAAGACATTAGAACTGTCACCAGAGTCTTACATGAACTTGTCTTAACCCCTTTGCCTACTCATTTGGATTACTCAGGGCCACAGTTACAAAGATAACTGCTCATCTACCTTTCTAATGCCCAAATAACTTTTGTGCATAATACCCAATTAAATAAAATTATGTACTGTAAAAAAATATATGTACTGTGGCCTGAAATCTAAAATTTAAAACTTTAAATGATTCTTCTGGGTCAAGAAAGTCAGTTTTTGCCACGGTAGTAACAAAATATAAAATTATAGTTACTATGTCTCTTTCTGTGATTTCTCTTTTCAGAGGCTGATAAAATACCAGTAATGCGTGGACAGTGGTTTATTGATGGCACTTGGCAGCCTCTAGAAGAAGAAGAAAGTAATTTAATTGAGCAAGAACATCTCAGCTGTTTTAGAGGTCAGCAGATGCAGGAAAATTTTGATATTGAAGTGTCAAAATCCATAGATGGAAAAGATGGTAAGACCAATTAATACATTTAATATGTTTTGTAAACTAAGTAAGTTCTTGATGAAGTTTAGAGTAGTTCTTAAGTTTGACGTGGTAATTCATGAGTATTAGAATTTATAAAATTTCTGATAATTTTAAATATTTGATTATTTTAGAAGTTAAAACTGCTATGAATTTCTGAACCATCTCAATTTTTATTTTGCTTAATATGTATGTTCACTGGCATGACACTAATATGATTTAACTATAATTGTACAAATTGTGATAATATGTTCTGTGAATTAGTCATTTCTGTAGTTTTTAATTATTAATGAAAGTTGAATCTACAAAAAATGTCCTATCAAAAGAGCAGTTTTGTTAATATTTTAATGTTTGTTCTTTTCTTGAAATTAAAAAAAAAAAACAATTTTAATTTCCTTTCTGTAAGCATCTTTGAGCTGTCTCCATATTGGTAACCACATCAACTTTTAATTTGAAACAGTCTACTCCTTATATTCCCTTATTCAGCATTTGGATATGTTTGCAGTAGCTTAAAATATTTATATAATAGCCAAGATTGACATGTTTCATTATGTATCTGATCTTGAGTAAAACTTAAAATATGTGGTAAAGTTAAAAATACTTCTATTGTTCCATTTACTGCAGGCAGTGGGATCAGCTATTCTGGTGAGTATAATAATACAGGTAGATTAGAATTTGTAGATTTCTCTATTTTTTTCTAAAAAGTGTTTCTCCATCTATGCTTGCCTTTATTTTGGAGGTTTCTTGGCAAGCCCCATTGAATCTAGTGAACTAATGAATTAAGTGATTTTTTTTTCCCCTTTCCCTTGTAAAACGTCTCTAAAGCAGGAAAACTCAGTATCGATCAAGTAATTCACAGAATGCAGCTTGGAAAAAATTATGTGGTTGGAAATAATTGTTTACATGGCATAATTAATGGCAAAACAATAAGCTTTAAATCGGCTTATTTTTTTTTTCTTATTAACAAACATCCCAAGTTTTTTCTTTCTCCTACTCTTTGTCTCTGAACACACACACACACACCACTTGTCACAAGCAAGGAAACTGTCTAGTTTAATTTATGCCAAATTAACATACCGGTTTTGTATAGTTGATTAAAAGTCCACATAACTGAGGAAAGATGTGGCTTCTGAATAAATTTGCAATTAAATCTAACAAATATATATAATAGTAGTTATCTATTATGTGCCAGATGCCATACTCTTGGAATTTTAAGTATCTCATTTTCCTAATCTGTAGGGTCAGATTTGTCCTTATTTTACTGTAAAATTCAAGCTCAAGGTTCTTACATATCAATATGTACAGAGCAGCTCAGTGTCTACAGAGCAGAGCTCTGTCTGCATTCCCACAGAGTGCTGTCAAAACAATACTTTCTCTGGTTATAACACAAGTAACAATTTTTATATATCCATGATCTTATATTAGTGAGTGAAGTATTTTGTACTTTCTCATCACCACTACCAAAATGCAATTGCTATTGGAGAAGAGTGAATTCTACATTTTTTTCTTTCTGTGAATTCTCCTTCAGTCCTGCCTCAAAAATGGCAATTCACCTTAACAAACTTAGTTTAGCCACCCACATTCCTTACTAATAGTATAGGGACAAAAACCCAAGAGCTCAGAGGAGAAAAAGGATGAGTATAAAAAAAATATATATATATATATAAGTAGATTATTCTCCTTTTTTGTACTGTATTCAAAACATTTTTTTCCTCTTGCTAATCCATCTTGTGGAAGTTAGTTATCAGCTCTTTTTCATCTCTAGAACCCATCTATTTGGAATCTTGGGGTGTTTGTTTTGAGAGAGAGAGAGAGAGCATGTGCGAGTGGGGGGAGGGGCTGAGAGCGAGGGAAAGAGAGAACCCCAAGCAGGTTCCGTGGTCTCAGTGAGGAGCCCAAGACAGGGCTTGATCTAAGGAACAATGAGTTCATGACCTGAGCCGAAATCAAGAGAGGGATGATTAACCAACTGAGACACCCAGGCACCCTTGGAATCTTGTTTTTATTACAATAAAAATTAGAATTCTGTGTGTCCTTTTTACTTCTACTCCCTACCAAAATGTTAAGTGTAGCAGGATACTTCAGTTTCCTTCAAAGTGCCCTAATTTTATGAGCCAGTCATTTAAATAAGTCTGATAAAGAACATGGTATATTTGTATGATTAGATTTTTAGTATGTCTTTGTGTATGTTGATTCTAGAGTATCAATCTAGGATATTATAACAATATTTTTTGCTAGCTTTAAGGATATACATTGAGTAGTAAAATTCCAATTAGTAATAACAAAATTTTTAAACTGTTAAACATTTTTGTGTTGTGATCTTTCAAAATGATGATTCTTTAAGGTTCACTAGAAGAAAAATTGGTTTTTTAAAATACGCTATGGCATATAGGTAAAGCTTCAGCGTGTTATTAACGAAGATTTTAAGTTCAATTTTGCATATATACTGTTTTCATAAATTTCTAGCCATTTTAGTTGTTCAGTTTTATGTAAAACATACATTTATGAATTAAGATGTGATGTTTGACTTTGAAGATTATGGGAAATTTTGTAGTACATTTAAAAATTATCACTGGTCTTAAGGAAAGAATATTTGCTGTCCAAAAAGCCACCATTATTGGAAAAATAAATCAAATTTGCCATATCTATAAAGGAAAAACATATTCTAATCTTTTACTTTGCTTCTTACCTCCAAGCTTCTGAAATATCCTATTTCATTAATTAATTAGGGTAAAAATATCTTTTCCACCTAAATTTTCTCATGTACATAAGATAAAGCCTTGACTCTTCATATTTTCAGGAGGTTTTTAATATTTCCATGTTCAGTTAGTACTGTGCTAGGCACTTTTGTGAAAGAAATAGACAGGGTTTTGACCCTCAAGAAGTTTTGGGGAAGACAGCCAAAGATGAGAATAGTTCCAAAGTATAAGTAAAAGATAACACAGTAAACAGTGAATACAGAATTAGATATTCTGCAAAAAGATTTAGAATAAAGAGAGTTGGAAATCACAGTGCCGTGGAGTTTTTTCAAATACAGTTTTCTGGAAAAGTCCCATTTAATTATTAAAAGCATTTTTAAATGGTATATTTGGGAACTCTTAAGTGCTCTGTGGAATTTTTTCCTTTTTTCCCCTTCCTCTGTGAAAATTCTAAGAAACCGAGCCTTTGCCTTGAAGAATGTTAAAATAAAACAGCAATTCCTTTTTTTTCTCACCTTATCTGTGTTTTGGTTAGGGTAGCTGATGCTACAAATAACTTGGATTTTTTAATATTTTCTCCTTGTTAATTTTCCTACTAATCTCAAAGTAAGCATTGAATTAAATAGATTGGTGAAAATTTAGCATAACTTTTTTAGCATACAAATAAAGATAACCTATAAAAATATAATCACTTTTTCAACTTAGATACTTTAATCTAAATTTTGTTTTCTTTGAAAATTAAAATACAAATTCTCTTCCCACCCTACCTCCTAGCAGCCTAGAGTTTTACTGGGGATGGATTATACAAATAAAATCAGGCCTGCAAATAAGTAATTTTGAAAATTCTTAAACATTCTGCTAGATTGGTATTTCACTCACTTCACAATTTTTCTTTGGAAGCAATAATCAGTTTTAAAAAGGTTAAAGTAAATGGGTTAGTCCTGTACTTCACTCTGGCCAAAAAATGTGTAACCTCAATCCAGTCATGAGAAAACATCGATAAACTCAAATTAAGGGACATTCTACAAAACAAACTGATCAGAGCTCTTCAAAAGTGTTAAGGGGTCCTATTAACTAGATGAGGGGTATTGTTTCACAATGTGTAAGTATCTCAGCGTACCATGATGTACACTTTAAATATCTTATACTTTTGTCAATTATACCTCAATAATGATTTTTTTAAGTATCAAAGTTATGAAAGATTGAAGAATTTGTCAGTTTAGAGGAGACTAAGGGAACATGACAATGAAATGCAACATGGTATCCTAGATTGGATCCTAGAACAGAAAAGAACATTAGAAAAACTGGAGAAATCTGAATGAAGTCTATATCTTAGTTGCTAGTGTTGTGCTAATATTAATTTCTTAGTTTTGATAATTGTACTATAGTTACCCTAACTTTAGGGGAAGCCAATATATGATAATTCTCTGTTCTATTTTTGCACCTTTTCTGTAAGTATAAAATTATTCCACAATAAAAAGTTTTTAAAAAATTCCTGTAGGGTAATTAAAATAGTAAAAAAAAATTTAATTCAAAAGAAATCAAGAAAGGAGAAACAAGAAACAAAATACAGATGGAACAAAGAAAACAAATGGGAAATAGTAGACCTAAATTCACTCATGTCAGTAATCACAGTAAACGTAAGTGAACTAATGCTTGAATTAAAAAGCAGAGATTGCCAGATTAGAAATGCAAAACCTGACTATATGCTGTCTACAAGAGCCACCCTCTCAATATAAAGTCGTAGCTAAGTTACTATTCAAACTAATTTGGGGTGCTCTGACATCACAAGTGTTGGTGGATCTTGACTTAAAACATTTAACAATTTGGCATGTAAAGTGTGTATTCCTGTCACTGTTACTGGATAAGAATATAGTGAATATAGAATTGCAAACTGTGAATATAGAATTGCAAAAGTCAAAAAGGTGAGAGGAGTTGGAGGCGTGCTAACCCTTTGTAATCAGCTTTCCTTTTCCTCTCTCTGGCAACTAAGAGGATTCCCACCTTCTAGCTTTTAGTTACTATGTTTTATAAGTTTATCTAATTAGTTTCTCTGAGATCCAAGGTTTCTATGAGTTTTCTCATAGCTGGCAGGTTTGAGATGTGCAGACCGGCTTCCCCTAAAGTTGAGATTATATAGGTTAACAGCTTTTAGAACGGGAAAAGTCATTGAGTTGTTCTATTCTGAGGATTAGTATGTCATCAGCAACCACCTTTGTTGATACTCTGTTGCTTTCAGAATTATATAATGAAGAAAATCTCTTTAAGAGGTGGATTAGTAAGAAAACCTATTGGAAATGCTTTAAAGTACTTTAAATTTTTTTCATTGCTGTGTAGGCTTTAGTATACATTTAATTAAATGTTAGCATTTAATAAGTGAACATTTTGAGTTTATGCATATTTTTGCTAACATAAGAATTCTTAACTAAAACTTCATTTTACGGGGAAAAATTAAGTAATGCTTTTTAGCACTTGAATTTCATTTAGTGGTGATCCCTGTTTGGATTGATAGTAATTAGTTTTTGTCTCTACTGTACTAATGATAGTACCCCTAATTCTGTGCTTTGGGTTGAAAAAAATTGAGCTTTCTAACTATACTATGGGATGTTGTGACAGATACGGCAAGTGACTTTCAAGTGAAAATAAGAATTTAATTTGAGAGGAAGGTAAAGAACCATATCTGTTTAATTTTGTGAAAGTATTTCAAATAAATGTGCTTCTCTATTTTTGTTATATTGGGATGTTTGTCTTTTTTTAATCCCTAAATTGTACTGTTCCTTTAGAAAGAAAAGCCTTTCTTTTTTATATTTTGACTAGTTTTCGGAAAGTGTTTGCATAATTTTGAAATGTAGTCAAATGGTCCATATGTATTTCAAGTAAATTTTTAAATAATTGCTTATTTAAAATGTGGGAAAATGTATTGGTATGTAACTAGCAATAGTTGACAGGGAAAATGTTGACTTCAAGGTTATCTGCTGATTTGCCAAATATCAAGTCTATGTCTGGCTTTATGTTGGCTATTTCATGCTTACAGAATGTCACAGCATACTTTGTACTAATGACTTTTTTTATTCTTTTAATTTTCTTCTAGTAAATATGGATTTGGTTCATGTTAGTTTTACTAGTGGAAATATAAAATCTAGGTTTTGTTTCTTTGAGTATTAAAGTCTCAAATTTATGTCAATTTGATCTACTTTGATAGCATTTTCTTAATGAATTTTTTGTTTAAAAATGTTTCCTGCAACTGGTACATCTACTCCTCAATAACTGACCAGAAGGTGCCTGAGAGAAGACACTTTTTCAGTGAAGAAAATTGTTTCAGCTGTCATTTTCTACCCCTCTGTGACAATGAAATGTTTTTATAATCTTGATGTTACATTCCAGTTTTTAATCCTAGTCTGTAGCCATCTAATTACGTGTGGTTGTGATTATTAAGTGCCTTGTAAGCATTTCTGTTACCTTTATTGCACAAATCTCTGAATATATTTCATGTGTACATTTAACAGATTTTTAAAAATATTTCTAGTACCATACAACAGGAATTAAGTATGTTCATATTTGAACAGTATTTAACCTTTGAGTGTCATGTTAATGTAGAAGGGAGTGAGGATGCAAAAGCAAATGCTTTTTAGAACACAAATTTGAACTAAGTCCTAAAGGTTCTTGTGGTTCATTAATTGAACTGATTTGTAAAGTTCCATTTCAAGTGGATTTTTAAATAATTGCTTATTTTAAATAAAATTTATTTTGAATAAATTGCTTATTTTATTTTAAAGAAATTTACAACTGAGCAATTGCAACTGTAGCAATGTTTGACAGAGAAAGTGTTGACTTCAAGGTTTTCTGCTGATTTGCCAAATACCAAATCTATGTCTGGCTTTATGTTGTCAGTTTCATGTTTACTAGATGTCACAGCATACATTTTTACTGGTGACTTTTTTTTTTCATTATGTGTTACTAATCTTTCATTTTTTTATAACTAATCATTTAAAAGCACAGCTTCCAATTTGATTTATTTTGGCAAAAGTTTCATTTTAAATATTCTTTTAGCAGCTTGGACAAAGTTGCAAAAAGAATATTTTGTTTCTGTGGGAAGCTTCCATTATATACTTCAGTAATAGAAGGCATCTAGTGGAATGTATACTGTGATATTTTCTCAGGAAAACTGCATTGATGTTTAAAATGTTATTTATTGCCTTCTTAATTTGCATATCAGCTGTCAGCTATGTCATAGTCACAAATTTGGTGAGAGTAAAGAACCTTAGTATTGTGAAGATGGGACTTATACATCCCTTATGCATACAAAAAATACCATGACCTATTTTTATTCTATGTATGCAAAGACATTCAATATGATCGCATAGTTATCTTTAACTGATAGGTATCATTTGCCTTTTTTCTTGCAATAAAAGTAGAGCATATATTTGATAAACATTATTAAACTAATGTTTTGCTTTACTGATTTTTCATGAGAAATTATATAAATAAATCATTTAGAATGTTTGTCAAATACAACTCATTTTTTAAAATTAATACAACAAAAAGGCAAAATGGCAAACCTCATTTAAAATTTACTTTGAAGCTCAGTGTTTTTGCTTTCTTAGTTGTCTACCACCTCCCTCCCTTCTCCCTCCCTTCTCTGTTCAAATGGAGAGGATATAAGGAGAGTACAGATGCGGCAGGTCTTAAGCGAAAGCGTTCTCAAGGTACAGTAATTGTAGTTTTATTTCTCCATGTAGTTATACACCCTGGCTTATAGCATTCAGTATTTAAAGCGTAGAAATTATTAGTTTTTAGAATTGTGTCCAGTGTGCTATTTTGTTTAGAGTTACTTAATTTTAAGCGCTATGAACATTTGTAAATAATGTGTGTGGTCCAGTAATGACATGTTCACCAATACTAAGACGTTTTACTTTAAGACAGTATGTGGATGGTTTGAGGAGGAACAAGATTTCATTGACTTACCACTGTTCTTTATCTTGGTCTTACAGTTTCAATGTTTTAAGCATATGTTACTCAAAACTATTTGAACAAAAATGTGGTTTAGAAACATTAGATAAAAAGGCATAAAATAGTGATTTGGATCAGGCATAGAAAAAGTAAATAATTGTTAAACTCATACAAAATATTTTCTTAATTTATGAAAAGTTATTTTATAGAAAGCTGAGTTTGTACATTGTTTTTCTGAAGTTTTTTTTGAGAATTGAAGATATTAATGTTTGTTACATTAATTGCATCTTGGTCTGTGTTTAGTGTTAGTAATATGTCCGGGCAAATAAGTGAAATACAAATTGGTTTTTTATAAGTTTTTGAAATTGTATTTGTAGTATAACTTAAGTACAATTCCCCAGAAAGGATTTACTTTTCTATGTATTCTAGTAGGGAATAGATTTTCATAAAAATGACTTTATGGTCTTAGATCTTGACAAGGGCTATAACGTTTCATATATAAGCTGAGGTTATTTCCAACCCATCCTCAAATCTGAATAGTTAGACTCTGCTGGTAACTAGCTTTGTGGCAAGACCCTATTAAGGGACTCTTTGTACCTCTGGGTCTTTATATATAGTAGAGATTATATTTTGCTTAAAAGGGATTTTTTTAAAAAATAAATCAGACATAGTGATTTTAAGGTGCCTGGTTTTCTGAAAGGTATGTGAATTTTTCTCATCTCTATACCGGAGATACAGAGGAAAGTTTAAGGCCTTCAGAATATAAGAATTATCAAGTATGAATCGATGGATATGTTATGACACTTCTCTTAATCTGCTGCTTCCACAAACACGTATCACTGAATTTGTGAAATGGGTCTAGGCTCTGCTAGGACACTGGTGCTCGTGGTACAAAATGATCAAGACGTAGTCCTTGCCTCACAGAGCTTATGTATTCCTTGAGCATATAGGTTTCATTTTTTTTTAGAGCCTATTTTCAGAAATGTAATAACCATACTGATTTGAACATCACAGTAGAAAAAATTTCTTTGATTTCTTATTAAAACATCTTTCAACTTTGGATTTCTGTTATGGTGAGCAGTATCCAGTGATAATTCGTTTAGTATCCATTCCAAAACTACCTATTTCTAATCAGTTAGATTGTTGTCTTCCCCGTCTTCCTCTCAGTCTTGTTTTGTCTTGCACCGCTGAGTGAAATTTTCACAGATCCAAAAATATAGTCCACAGAAGAAAAGAAACTTAAGTTTCTATGTCAAAGGTATTGAGGACTTTCATGAAGGTATAAATTATCCCTTAGAAGGAAGAAATGTCATATCACCTGGGAAAGCAGTTCTTTAATAATCAGAGCATGTTAACTACCAGTTAGAGGTTAAAACTATGGTGGGTAAGCCAGTTATTCCGTGTTGTTCTAACGAATTACCATTCCCTGTAGCATGGTTAATCATTTATAAAATAAAGCCCCTATCCATCACTTGCTTCAATTTAATATGTGTTTCAGCAAAATAATTTTATATTCAACTGAGTTCAAATACTGATTCAAAAATCTGTGTATTCTAATTCTTTGCACAAATGAGAGACCTTCAAATTAATTTTTCCTTTTTGCAACAGCTATTCACAGTTTCAAGTTGAGTAGAAATCATGTGGACTGGCACAGTGTGGATGAAGTGTATCTTTACAGTGATGCAACAACTTCTAAAATTGCAAGGACAGTTACCCAAAAACTGGGATTTTCTAAAGGTAATTGTTAAATATAGTTTGTCAAACTTTGGGGAATCTTTTTTTCTTGTATTCAAAAGGGACTATTCAGATTCTATTTTTAGTATATTTTAAATATGTATTAAATTTAGTGATAGTTACTGCCCTGTTAAATGAAACTTTTATTAAGGTGATTGAGTTCACATGTATTCATCAGTGAATAATCATATATTTAGAATGATCTGACAAAATTAATAAATATCTTTTATACTTCTAGAAACACAACAGCATTCAAACCGCAGGCAGTGATGTGAAAATAAAACATGGCAATTGAAGGTGAAGACTAAAAATTTTCTGTTGGATTTAGTGATGTAGAGATCATTGGTGACTTGGATGGATTGAGGGGCTAGAAGCCAGATTCGCATGGGTTGAAGTCTAAGTAGGGGAAGAAATAGAGGCAGTAAGAATAGACAGCTCTTTACAGAAGTTTGACGAAAGGAAAGAGGAAATGGTGCTTGAGGAAGATGTGAGAGCATTATTAATAAATTTTTCAGAAAGTTTCGTTAAGTCTGATACCAATTTTTTTGCAATTACCTCTTATATAATTTCTTTGATAACAAGATGTACTTGAATATCTTCTTACATGTTTCCTAGTCATTTGTATTTGTTTTGTGAATTACCTTGTCTTTAGCCCATTTTGCTATTTCATTGGTTGTCTTTTCACTTTTTGATTAGTAAGCTCTCCTTTGCACTCCAGTAATTAACTCATTAGGCACTGAATTTTGCAAAAGTTTTCCCAGTTTATCATTCATCTTTTATCTTTGCTTCATGGTATTTTTTGTTTTTTTTTTACAGAGAACTTTTTAAATTTTTTATGTGTTCAGTCCATCCTTCCCTCCTTGCTTTTCTTTTCCCTATGGTTTCTGGCTTTGGTGTCATGTACTCTGAGCCAGTCACTGTACATCATTTCACAAATTTCATCCCCACCCAACCCAGTGAAATTTTTTGCTAGTACTCCTTTTTCTTTATTATTTCTTTAAATGTATGCCCAAATGCTATTTCTGGAATAAATAGTAAACTTACAATCATAATTTTTCTACAGCATCAAGTAGTGGGACTAGACTTCATAGAGGTTATGTAGAAGAAGCCACATTAGAAGACAAGCCATCACAGACTACTCATATTGTATTTGTTGTGCACGGCATTGGACAGAAAATGGACCAAGGAAGAATTATCAAAAATACAGCCATGTGAGTGAGTTCTTTGATGAATACATTCTCCATCACTAGAATCCAGACTTTTATCCGGGGTATAACAGAGTTTAATCATTCCACCGCATGTTCAGTGCAAACTACTCTAATATCTCTTATGTTATAGATGGAATTTCTAGACCAAATTGTGAGAGTGATTATGTCCAGATGATGATGATGATATTTGAGGTTTTTTCCCCCACAGCATGGAGAAGAGGAAGAATAAGAAAGTGTTTTCAACTTATTAATTTACATTATATTAAGGTTGAAAGCAAAGAAAAATTGTAATTCTTAGTTTGTATCTTACTCACTGAACTGCAGAAACAGAATAATTACAAGGTTGCATAATGATGAAAAACATAAGAATTTTTTAAATTGTCATGGAGCACCTGGGTGGCTCAGCATCTGACTTGAGCTCAGTCATGATCTCACAACTTGTGAGTTCAAGCCCCGCATTGGACTCTCCGCTCTCAGCACAGAGCCTGCTTTGGATCCTCTGTCTCCCTCCCTCTCTGCCCCTCCCCTGATTATGTTCTCTCTCTCTCTCTCTCTCTCTCTCTCTCTTTCAAAAATAAATAAACATTTTAAATAAATAAGTAAATAAATTGCCAGTTAGCAGCTTAACCTAGCCAATTAATTACTACCAGAGGAAACTGAACTCTAAATTTTACACAGAGAACAGTGGATTATTTACCAACACACCACATACATTATTTACCTCATTAATTTATTTTTATTCAACTTTATTCTTTTTTTTTCCCCATCTTTAGTCTAAAAACTGTAAGATGTTATGGGGGTGAGGGATGTTTATACTTGTGTGTGTTTGTAAAATGTTAAGGACTGTGTTGAAAGGAAATGTTAGGGTTAAGCCACCATAAATGTGGCTCTAAACTAGCCATCGGTATGAAGAAAAATCTAATCATATTTATGATGTGATGAAACAGATCAGTTTTTGGTTCAGAGCACACTTTATCTGGTTCTGAGGCTTCAAGTAAATGTATTTCTTGAGTCCTTATACAGCAACTACTGTGCAATACCAGAAACTTTGTCCTAGTCAACATCTCTATAATAATGCAATGTTGAGTTTTGTTTCACCTTTTATTGTAACACCTCTTAATGTCAACTGATGGATTAAAGTACGGTTCAACTTTTAAAAATTTAGTCAGATACCGCTAAGCCACCCTAATTTTTTGTCAATCTTCCTAGTTTCTATTACAAAAATCTCTTCTTTCTGATTTGTGTTCTGAGGAGTTGCACGTTATTTCTTATAATATTTGTATTCTTATGTCAAAATGCTAATCTTTTGCTTGGATATCTAGGAATCTGAGATACGGGTTTAATGACAGATTCACTCTGGCGCCATTGATAAATGAGAAGGTATCAGCTTGCTTTCTTTGGATGTAGGTGAGGGGAAACCTAATCCAAAAAGGCTTGAACCAAAAGGAGGATTTAGTAGTTCATAACACTGAGAAGTCTAAATGTAAGATGTGTCAGTCCTGAGAACCGAGAATCCAGTTTCTACTGTACTTTCTTTCATTTTTTAGCTATTCTCAGACTTCTCCTGTGTGTGCTTCCAGATACGGTTTATATTATATTATGTTCAACTTCAGAAGAAAGAGTAACCCTGTTTTTCCAGAAGTCCCAGCTAGCCTAGGCATTTCAGTGACCAATGGCGTTGCATCCAGCTACCTGAATCTGTACATGCGGCCATGCAGGGTATGATGTATTGAGCTTGTCATCTCCCAGAGTCAGATGGAAGTTGGCTTCATCATCACCATAGGGAGAGGTAGAGCCACAAATAAAAATCAAGAGCTATTATTGTAAGTGGAATGAATGAATCCAGAGTGGTTAAAAAAATAAGTATCTGCTATCGAGAAGATGCTGTCATTCCTTCAGAGACAGGGTAATTTGATGGAAAACCCCCCACATAAACTAGTAATTGATAGAAAATAAACAAAAAGAAATTCTGATTAATTATAAACAAGAAAATCCAGAGGATCTCTTAACTCTTTCCCTGCTTTCTACAATTCCTTAGTAGTCCAGAACTGTAAAAAGAGTAAAATTAACTTCATCCTTGTCACTACCATTCTGAATCTTGTTTGTATTTGTGAGACTACAGTTGATTTTCTTTTTTTAATTTTTTTGGCAAAACTGAGAAGCCTGCAGCTTGGTCAAGAAGACCAAGAAAAAAAGTGTGATGTATTGTTGACCAAGAAAAAAGTAGATTCAAATTGCTAAAATCAGGAATGAAAGAGGGGACATAATTACTGACCTTACAGAAATCAAAGGATTATAAGGGAATACTATGTACAGTTCTGTGCCGATAAATTAGATAGCCTAGATAAAATGGGCAAATTTCTAGAGAGATACAAACTACCAAACTGATTTGATGATCAATAAGAAGAAATAGAATCTAAACTGACCATTAAGAAGTAAAGCATTTGAATTAATAATCAAAAAACTTCCTTCCAAAAAAAACAAAAATGCTCAGGACCAGATGGCTTCACTGGCAAATTCTGCAAACATTAAAAGAGCACCAATTCTTCATAAACTCTCCAAAAAACTAAAAGAGGAAGGAAGACTTCTCAACTCATTCGTTGAGGCCAATATTGTCCTAATACCAAAATCAGACAGATATCATAAGGAAAAAAAACTTATAGATCAGTATCCCTTATGAATACAAATAACTATTCTTTATGGACCCCAAAATTCTCAACACAATACTAGCAAACTGAATCCACCAACATGTAAGAAGATTATACCTTACGATTGATTGGGATTCATCCTAGGAATGGAAAATTGATTCAACATATTTTTAAAAATAAATCAAGGGTAATACACCACACTAATAGAGCAAAGGGGAACAAAAACATCATGTGGTTTTTGATGCAGAAAAGGCATTGACAAAATTTAACACCCTTTCTTAATGAAAACACTCAGGAGAGTAGAGAGAGAAGGGAATTTCTTCCCTCTGGTAAAAGGCATCTACAAGCCCATGGCTAATATTGCACTCTAACAATGAATCAGTGAAAGCTTTTCCTCAAGATCAGCAATGAGACAGGGATGTCACCTCCCAATTCTGATCAACATTGTACTGGAGGTTTCACCCAGGGCAATTAGGCAAGTAAAAGAAATAATAAAAGAGATCCAGATTAGAAAGGAAGAAATAAAATGATCTCTGCAGATAACATGATCTTAAATAGAGAAAATCCTAGGGAATCTATACACACACACACACACACAC